GTAACACGGGTCACTAAAGTGAGTAACTCTCCAAATTTCTTATCTTTATGTAATCTTAATAATTTTTTGGATAGGATTTCAAGTGACACGTGTCGTTAAAGTGAGTAACTTTCCAGATTTCTTAGGGCCTGTTTGATACTTTACTTGAATCCAACTTTTTAAAATCATAAACAATTTTTAAGTTTTAGGCCTTAAAAAGTTGTTTGGTAGGATTATTTTCATAAACAGAACTCAAGACTGACTAAAAAAATATAGTTTATTCTCTAAAAACATAAAAAGTGAGTTTTTAGAGTTTTTAAACTTAAACTCACTCATTTCTTTTCGCTCCCTCCTCCCCTCTCACTCCAAATCTATCTCTCTATCTTTTCTTTTTTCCCTCTCCTCTTTTTTTACCTTTTTCGTCTCTTCATTCTCTCAATTCTTTCTCTCACTCATCTTCCTCTCTATCTGATCTTATCCTCTTTCTTCTTTCTCTTTCCTTCAATTATCTTTTACTTTCTTTTCTCCTCTCTCCTCTTTCTCCCTCTCCTGCGACCCCATTTTTTTAGATCTCTTTGTCTAGTTTAAGTTGTAAGATTTAAAAATTTTAAATCGCAAACCAATCAAGTTTTTGAGTCTTAAAGAAAATTGTTTTCAATAAATGTTCTTAAGAAATGTTTTGAGAAATAATCAAAATTTTCTAAATAGGATACCAAACAAGCCCTTATCTTGATGTAATCTTAATAATTTTAAACACTACAACAACTTGAATATTAAAGAGTACAACTTAAATTTAAAGAGTACAACTACTTAAATTTAAGGACTACAACTTAAACTTAAAGACTATAATCATCATCTTCATCCGCTACTGTAGGAGTATAGTCGGATGTAGACAACTCACGTTGGGTCATAATTTCCCTCTTTTTCCTATCAAAATATGCCTTACTCATTGGAGTATTGTAACACCCCGACCCCGAAATATTTATTTTATTTCGGAAAATATTAGTATTGGTGATAGGCCCAAAATAAAACTCTTATTTAGTTTATTATCATTAGTTGCGTTCCTTCACTTCAATGATTTACTTTCTTTCAACACTAACCACATTTTTTTATATACCAAAACAAACAATTAAAATACTAACTTAACTCATTAGGATTCGTCAACAAGTCCAAATAAATTCCTTCATCCCACGAGTAATTCATAATCACTATTCATTTACGCAAAACATACAATTTAACTTCCAATTTAGAACCATTTCCTTTGATGGACCAATTTCCATTTTGTAGCCTTTATTCTCGAATTTACTTAACCTCACATATTTTATGGCTGCATTTAACATCTCGTTAGACTGCCTACGTACCATAAATAGGGATCAAGCGTTTCGTAGTTCACAATTCAAAAAGTTCAAACCAAATACGAAACTATTCATTTACTTCCACATACACCACAATCATATTAATATTCAACCATAACAATTAGATCTCAAAAACAAAACTTAGAATAATGAAATTCGCATAACAACACAAATGTCGGCTCCCTGGCCGTGCGCCGCCGCGGGTGGCGATCGGCTGCCCCGACTCGCTGGAAAATTCAATTATTTCTAAAAATTCTCAAAATTACAGAAATGAAGATCTCAAAGAGTAGAGCAAACTTTATACTTGTGGCCAAGTCCAATTTGGCCTAGAAAGGCTCCAATTTGCCTTGAACCCGCCGGAAACCCTATAAATGGGTGTCCTCGATTCGTTACCTCTGGTGCTCCGCCGTCCCTACCATTGTTTGGGCTTTGTTCTAGATCTCAAGGGGAGTCTAATGGTGGTGGAGATGGATGTAGTTTGGGCTTTGTTCCACCCCACTGTGCAGTTTCTCCCAATTTAAATTCCAAATCCCTATATTTTTAGGATGTAATAGGAAGAGGGAAGGTCATGGAGGGGTTTCCTAGTAATTGTTTAGTGTAATTCACCGGAAAAATGGGTGAAAACCCATCGGAAATTGCTAAGGGTGCCGATTGGGTCGGGTCACCAAAGGCCGGGTCCTGATCCCCCGTTTCTCTTTTCCCTCATTTCTCTCCCTGATTCTCTCTCCCCATTGGTCACCCTCCCCTAATTCCTTCTTCCTTTTCCTCCTTTCTATTATTTTCTTTCAATCTCAGCCGTCCATCATTTATTTTACATTCATCACAGCCACACACGTGGCATAACATATTGCTCCATATTTCTAGAGTCTTCTAAATGAACTTAAAATTACCAAAATATTCCTGATTTTAAACGTTAATAACTTCTTCGTTATAACTCCGTTTCACGAACGGTTGGTGCCTACGCGTTCGTAAGATCGAGCTCTATTCAAAATATAAATTGTGACCTCGAAAGGTCTACGGATTTTAAATAATTACTTTCCAAATTTCAAACTTCGTAAGCAGCTTAATTTAAAACTAAACTCAAGTAACTTAATATAAATTCTCAAAACTAAGATAAAATCTCAATCATAAAAATACTTAAAATTTAATAATTTCCGAAAACCAAAACTTAAAAGTTCTCAATTAATTTCTTCGTAACCATAAATCGATTCATTTCCAATTTTCTCCACATTTCATAATTATGAATATATAATTCATATATTTAAATTTTTAGAGTATTACAAGTATAATCCCTCGTGTTCCTTTCCATGTTCCTATCATCCATCTATTCTTGTATTTGTTTTGCCCGTTCTTCGTGTCTACACTTCCTTTCTTCCATGGCAATGGCAATTTGCTCCGCCATTAATCGCAATGAGGAAGCCATTTCCTCTCAAAAGGCTAACTCCTCCTTTGCCTTCCCATTTTCCTTCAATTTTCAAGCCTTGTTTCGTCCCATAGTCCTAGGTATGGAAGATTGACCCGGAGATGGATTTTCTAACCTTGTTTCTTCAATGATCAGAGATACTTGTTCATTCCCAACTGTATTTGACCCAAACACCGGCGTAGGACCAAATCTTTCTTGAGGTGGATCTTGAAATAACACACACCCTTTACAAATTTCCCACAACTGTGATGAGTAAAGAGTTTTTTCATGGCATCCATATATAATTGCTCTGCTTGGCGTTCCTAGAAAATATTATTACAAAAAATAAAGGAAATTAATTTATGAAATTAAATGTAATATAATTACAAAAATTATAGGAAATTAATTTATGAAAACACCTACTTTGTCGTATAGATTGGTGCCGCTTTCCTGTCTACTTTCGACCTTTAGCACGGCTTGATGCCATTTATTCAAACTTGGTTGAAGATGTTTTTCCAATCTTGAAGAACAACTCTCATGGTTTCGGGGATTCTGTGGAGCGTTGCCTTCGTAGAACTCATAGTACTTTTGACATACGAGTTCAAATGCCTCCACTTGTTTGAGAACTACCTTTCACACTATCTTCCGAGACCCATGCTTCATCCTCTTTTTGGGTCCAAGCCCTTCCTTTGATTGAAGATGTGGCCATTTCAAAATTATTGAAAAAAATTATAGGAAAGATTATTGGAGTAGGTAAGAGAATAGAATGTGAAGAATTGAAGTAAAATGAGGTAAGATAGTATGGAATGGTGAAAAGGATATGAGAAATGGTGTAGGAATGACTTAGGTATTTATAGGAAAAAAAAATTAGAATTTTTTATTTTTTATTTTAATTTTGTCTAAAAAATTTAATGGTAACCTTACGTTAGCTAGTCGTTGCTAGCTGACGCCAAGTAGCCATTGCAAGTAGGCTGGGTTAGGAGAATCGGGTTGGCTAGCTGATTGATTATGGCCAGTTAGCTGGCCTGGGGTCTTTTTTTGGCCAGGTGGGGCCCACAAGCCCTTTGGCCTAGCCCTTGGTTGGAGACGATTTTCGTGTCAAAACGGACTTTTTTTTAGCCTATGGTCCTTTGGCCGGGTTGGTTAGGCTATCTCCAACCGAATGAGGACCAGAGGGCTATCTTTAGCCCTATAGCCCTCCAAGAAATTATATTTTAATGAATAGCGTTAAGCCATATTTCATACCATCTCCAACTGAAGGGGTCAAAGGGTCATGAGCCAAACATAGCCCTATGACAAAAAATCATCTCCAACCGAAGGGGCCAAAAGGTCATAGATCAAACATAATTTATTATTTTAATTGAATTAATATAGTTAATTAAATTAAATTACCATATTAAAATAAGATTTTCGGACATATTGGAAGATTATTGAAAGAGTTGGCCATTTGAAAATTATTGAAAAAATTAAAGGAACGATTATTGGAAGATAATAGAATGTGAAGAATTGAAATAAAATGAGATAAGATAATATGGAATGATGAAAAATATGTGAGAAATGGTGCAAGAAAAAAATTAAAATTAACAAAAAAAAAAAACTTGGGTTGGGCTAAAAAAAAAAAAAAAATTCCAGCCTGGCTTGATTTGGTGGTTTTGACCTGGTAGGGCCCACAAGCTCTTTGACTTAATCCTTTGTTGGAGATGGTTTTCGTATTATTTTAAGCTATTTTTAGCCCTATGATCCTCTGACCGAATCAATTAGAGATAACCTTAGATCTATAACAACAACTGAATTTCGTGCTAGGTAACTCAACCCTGTGTTCTCCGACGCTGGTATGTAGCTGCCTAGTCGTTTGGCCTGCCGAATGACGTGTCCCTTGGGCGTTTAATGAGCTGCAGGATTCCCGGAGCCTGGTCGCTTATGTGGATGTGACTCGGGATGAATGCTTCAGAGCTCATGAAGGATCAGCTCATGCGTTGATGGAAGTAGTCCGACCTGGTGGGCCTGTGTCGCATTGCCTTTGGTGAAATAATGAAGAGAAATGCAGTCCAGACTACCAACATAAATGTCAAGGATTTCACAATGTGCAACTATAAAAAGGCACGTGTCGGGTGCATAAGCTGCCCTTAACGACTTGAGCTACAAGCCCCGTGCACAAATTGCATCGTTCGATTTCAAGTTCATTATTTAAATGGACATGGAAGTGGAGAAAGATAAAACATAAATGGGGAGGAGGGTAGGAGGGGAGGAGGGGAGGCAAAGAGAAAGGCACAAGTCACACTTTTATTGTCAAAACAGGAGCGAATTGGTTTTTACATTCTGCTGTACACACTCTTCTCATCCTCAGATATCAATACAACATAAGTATGCATATGCAAGCCCCCTAATTTTCTCTACAGGAAATCAATTTCCGAAACCCAGTAAAAAGAAAAAAAAATCGAATTTTGAATAAAAATTTGAAAGATGGACAAAAATGCAAGCTCACGACAAACCTGTGACCAGAAAGAATACCAAGAAGCTAACTAAACCAAAATGCAAACCTAGACATCCAAGATTCCAATCCAACTCAAAAGGCCGAAGAGAAAGTAAGACTAGAAAAATTGTTTGTTGTTTCTGTTCAATCATGAAAACTAGCTTCTTGGGAGCAGAAGCAGCTAAAAATGCACTGATGCTGTCCCTTTCACTCCTGAGAAATTGTGTTCCCCCACTGTAGGAAGAAAGAAAGCAAAATGTTAACTAGAATGCTCCATCGGTTAAAAGTCAACGAAAATCAAACTCTACTTTCATAAGGAAAGATCATGTACAGTTTTGGTGGGCAAGCATTCTGACGCATGCAACATAAACTGCAGCAAGCTGAAGAAAATGAAGAGCATGAAGAGATTCAGAACAATAGAAGGGCCATTTTAAGCTTGTTCTGTTTCCACTTGGGCAACTTATGGAAGGCATCCTTTGCCATACCGAAATGCTCCCTGAACTCCTCTGCTGACAAGTAAATCTGCTTGTGCCAAACTCATATATTAGGAATTTAGGATAAATTGAATACGTATGCATATGATTCCATAACCATTGTAATGCAATTCCAGTATGTTACCTCTCGCTTCGTCACATCAATATCTGTAACAGGATCTTCTGATGTTGTTTTAAGGCGTTCATATGGGTGAACGGGGAGGTTCTCATCTTCTGCTTCACCCTCCTTCGCATCTTCCTGTATGGTGAAGGATTCTAGTTTACTGGTCATAGAATTCTCCTTGTTATTTGTCTCCTGTTGTTTTGGCTTGGGGGGCCCTGGGCTCACTGCAGCCATAGAAAAAATGCTTTAAATTAAGTACCTCTGAAGGAACTGAGTGAGACAATTTTTGTGGAGGAGCTTAACAGATACTTACTTTTCGGTGATCTTGGTATATTAGATTCTCTTGCTGGTCCTGTTTTATCAAAACTAGCAGTGAGTGCTGCTATAGCAGATGATTTTGAAGCCAATTTTGATGAATCTGGAGTCACAGATTTGGGGAACAGTTTTGTGACCATTGGAGGTGGAGTTGAAAGGTTTCTGGCATTAGCATTCTCAAAAGTAGCAGCCAGTGCATTGAAAGCTGGAGATCTACCCCTCACACGAACTCGATCGGGGCTGAAAGACATGCTTCTGGAACGCTGCGATTTTTCTGGTACACTAGACCTTCCACCATAACATACAGGTGCTCTCCGTTTTGGTTTCTAATCAAGCATTAGATAATGAATCAGGAAATAAATATTAAGCACTAATCAGGCAACAAGGTGCGACAAGTTGCCCATGTACAGTCAAAATGTAGGAGGGCCACACTTGCATTAATCACACAGATCATAACACGGTGAGACTATTGATGGTTGATTAATATTATGAATACTAAGCTTTCTTTCTTGTATACTTCCTGTGTACTTGGATTTCACCTGTTAAATAAAAATTCATTTTACTTATAAAAAAGGTAAATTGAGACTTACGTTTTCACAAACAGAAATTTATAACACACAAACACTGTGGCTTGCAACTCTGGCATATACATTTGAGCGTCCTAACCCACCCTAAATAGAACCACCGAATGGGATGGATCTTACGAAAATATGGGAAGATATATGGCACCTAGTCAACTTAATTTGGCCTTTCAGTTAGCACTGGTTCCAAAGGTGCTACAGCTATGATTTGAAGGGATTTTATCAATTCAGATGTGAAGCCCGCAAAACTTACAGACACAGAGAGTTTAAGTCCCAAATTCTACACATTCTTTGAATTGTGAGACAATCATGGGACACAGTCAATATTTACTTAGAACTTATGACCAACCAAAACACCAAAAACCAATATATATTTATATAATATTCTTCCTATAATCTCTCACTACAAGATATCGCAAACTGTCCACTGAGTTTTGTGTGACAATCATGGGGTTGTAGTCAATATCCCATAAGATTTACTAGAATTTAATCAAAATTTTAATCAAGTATGCCATAGAGAATTCAAAATAAGCATAGATGTGCACAAACTCATAAGACTACTCATGATCAACTTCTTATTCAATCTCATAAGACTACTCATGATCAAGTTCTTATTCAAAAGAAGACTTACATTTACAGTTGGACTACCCCCATTTTTCAGTATAGTAAGTTTCCTTTGGAAAGAGTTCCCGTGCATCTGTACCAAAAACATAAGGAAAATTAGATTCTCAAAAAGATCTCAAATTTTGGTGATAACTTGATAATGATTATAGGACTCACAGAAGATTTTGCAGAGTCCCAAGTAAAGAAGCGTGTGAAGAAAGGTGGCTCACTTCCTTCCATGATGATATATATTGAAGCTTCACGAGATAATTGTTCCATGAAAAAATCATGCTCAAGAAATTTCTGTCAAAAGTTAGAATTGCCAACACATAGTAACATTAGAAATCTTAAAGATAGTTCACACAATTGTAAACCAATATGAGAAAACATAACTCAGATTAAGCTTCTACCAAAAGTTGAGAAAATTTCAAAGAAAGTGACATGTATCTTAGAAGACGGTTGACACAGTTGTACTGATATTACAATCTCAAGTCAGATTACAAAGTTATTGAGGTAAATAATCGTGCAGAGCAATATTATAAGTTTCTAGATATAGAGAAAAAGGTATAGATTTAAGAGTTTTTATTTTACGGTGGTCCGGCAGACGGTGCATAGCAGGCTTAAAGGCAAAAGGACATTGTGTTTTGATAATATAAATACTAGCTTGTGAACACAAGTACAGCTATGCTATTGCTTTCAGACAAACTCTAAAAAGTCGTACCTCCCCAATAGTTAAAGCCTGCATCCTATCCTTGGAGTTGACCTGTTGGCCAACCCAAACAAAGATGTCTGCATGACAATCCAAGATGAATATATCTTCAGTCATCAAATCATCCTGGGTGAAGTTGTATATCTCAACTACCTGCAACAATGACTTCAGTTTAAAGCTGTGTGAAAAACTAAATCCAAAGTAATATTGCACAAATTTGATCAGTTGATGCAAGAAAGCCTCAGCCCTGTAAGTTTAATGATTTTAATCACCTCATTCTTAAGTTTCATAATCTGTTTATGCTATGATTTACAGACACAGACAGAACTATCAACTATCATGTGTTGATAAAGACAGGTGTCAGACACGTTTCCCAGAAACCTAGACACAGGGATGAGCGGATATCTAAACCGTTTATAACTTTTTTTGTTTTTCCTTTATAACTTTTCCCTAACTGAAACAAACATTTTTGAAGTATTGGTATCCAAATGAATGTGTGAAACAGGGGCACAAGAATCTCGCGTCATTAGGTTTTCAGAGAAGGTTGCTTTTTGTTGAAGCAGTGTCACAACTTGTAAGGTTATGACATAATACAAAAAATACGTCACGTGAAACATAGTATAAACAAATAGTTCAAATAATACCTGTACAGTTTATAATACATATAACTGAAAAGATCCTGCATTTAGCATAGTCTAAAATTAATGTTGTGGATTAGAAATGATAAACCAAAATATGTACCTTCAAATTTCCTGAAGATCGATGTCCAGTGTGGTTATAATCAGAACAACAGAAAGGGGAGAAAAAGGTCAAAAACTTTGTGGTTAAACCAAATTGAAAATTTCATCATCTAGCCCAGACAAGTTTCATACCATTTGAGAAGGTGCAAGAAAATAGGCGGGGGTCGCTTTCACCAGATCTTACAATCTTTTGGCTGGGATACTCGGTCTTTCCTCCTAACAACTCCCAAAACTGTTCTGACTCGGAATTTTCCTTTTGCATTTTCGACTGGAGATCCGGCTGTAGATAATTCAAAGCATATAAGAAGTAGATTAATAAGCAGATCAACTGCAAAAATATAGCATACATTATAAGGACCCATTCATACACAAAACAGATGACTACTAATAGAACTGAAAGCATCCTCATAAAATAAAATATTAGCAAGTTGAACCAACCAAATCGACTCTACTGTAGTTCACATGCGAGTAGGATGACAATATTTATACGAACGACCTAGATGCAAAGATGCATGTCACAAGAATTACTAGCCTTTCCACCATTACAGATATGAACAAATATATATCTCACATAGAAAGGTCTCTCTTCTATAGCACTTTCTATAACTATAAGAAACATAGAGCACAACAGACCTTTATTAAATCGAGCTGCCTCTCAACAAGTTCCTGATCATCCGAGGTTGTGAGGCCTCCAGACCAGGTAAAGACAGTTGAGCCACTATGTAATATATAACAGTAGGAGGAATTCAAAGATGATGCAACCTGATGGCAGGGATTAAGAGAAAAAAGAAAGAAGGGATGGTTGTTAACATTCATATACAAGACAGAAATATACAAGTCTATTTACTACAGGTATCCTTCTGTGAGCAAAACCAGAAGAAAAAGGAACGAAAGAAAGAAAGAAAGGACTTACTGCATCAACTTGTATTGCTTGCATATTATCAGGTCCAGATCCCTGGACACGAAATAATGCAACACCATCTTCTTGATATGTCTCATCTGGAACTTCTTTCTCCGCAACATAATTTTTGTATCCATCACTGAGACCACCCTGATAAATTTCACATAGTCCATTTTGTGGTAAATTGAAAATATGCAATTACGTTCTAACGATGATTTCAAGAACTTTCTTTCTTTTGTCCTTTTATTTCAACATTACTTTCTCTATGGCATCATAGATTATACAAACCTTCAAAACAATTATGCTTTGGAAGATTGAATAGAACTGAATTGGTTCATTTCCTTCATAGATACGAGCCTAGAAATCAAAGATAAAATATCATCAGTAAGCAACAAAGAAATAAGTAAATTAATTGCATCAGGGTAACAATAGCATTTTAGTTGAAGGAAAACTACCTGGGCAGCAAGAAACTTCATCGACTCAACCATCTTGCTTGCTAGTGATATAGCTGATACCCTTTCGTCCTGTTTGGAGTAGAAATTCATATTTAGTATGCCTTCCACTTGGGCTAAATCTATGAACAAACATACATCTCTCTAATCTCATAAATATGCCACATGTAGCTTGGAAAGAGAGAAGGAACATATGACTCAATTAACTTGAAGAAAATTATTTTAGTTGAGTTGATGTCCTTAGAACGATGTGCATCAAGGCAACACTTCAAGCCTAACTGCTGAAATTTACAGTCACATTCCAAGTGCATGACTGACCAATTACATTGCCAGAAAATGCTCAAGATTTAAAAGCAATCTGATTTAGGTTGAAAATGCCTGATCTTTGTTTCCATACGTTTTAGTTTCCACCATTTTCACATAAACATGAATAGGCATAAGAAATTAGCACATAATCCAGGAACTTAGATAGATCCTTTGTTTCTAGAGAGGGCTGAATACTGACAAAGGATTCCGGTGGACAAACCCAGGTAATTAGAGAATTCTATGAATATATCATGGCTAAAAAGTCGGACTTTACCATTTCATTAATTTTTTTCAGACTTTTATATGGCACTCCTCAATCAAAACTTTACTCATGCGTAGAATATTATATGTGCACTTATTTTGACTAGAAACCTATTTGTATAATTTCCTGGTTTTTATAGGGAATTGCTGTAAAGCCTTGGAAAAGTTTATGATATTCTGAGCATTGTGTCAAGATTGATAAGATGCTTGGTAAATTATTACCTCAACGCTCTGCTTTCCAAACCATGTTCCTATAAGGTGTTCCTCTTTATCCTCTCCTGGATATGCATAATGAAAAATATAGCAATCTCCACTGTAAAATTTTGATTGATCAGAAGACTGAAGGTTAATCTTTTCCTGGCCATTCACACGCCAAACCTGCCAAAACATGATAAAGCTACCATTAGCAAGATCACGTAACCAAAAAGTTGACATGAGGTTTATATTCACATATCTTAGCAACAGTAATATGAAACTAAAGCAAAACCAAAATATAGCATTCCAAATGATTGTTCATGTTTCCCTGAGACCTCATTTATGATGAGTCAAAGATGATTCTTGTAGAATGTTACAACCCCTTAGTTTTATGGCTAGTATTCAAAACTAAATATGAGGCTTTCTAACCAAGTTAGTGGAATTTCCATACAGTTCGCGAATTGATTCTGAAGCCTTCCTCTTTTATATCTTCCTCATATGACATAGACAAATATCTTCCTTTTTAACTATTTTGTAAAAGACAAAAAGAGTGCAGTCAACTATCTTTGTGGAGTTTGTGTTAACAAAAGAGGTTCTTGGTTCAAGGGAAGCTTTTCCATAAAGAATTGAACTAACAAACAAGTACTAGCATTTCTACGCAAGAATGGTTACAAAAAGAACCAGAAAAACATGAGAAACAACATAAAGTGCAATAAATATAGATATACAGAACCTGCAAGTTTCCAGTGCAATCAATGTATGGTTGAGGTTCTTCTTTTACAGGATCAGCTTTCAACAGACCCTTCACATTAACCCCTTGACGCTTTAAGAGTGCTGCAGAAAGAATGAGAAGCAACAGAAGTGAGATTTTGCTTGGTTATGATCATAAGGACAAAATATGTTGCAAGCAAGGAAAAGAAAAAGAAAAAGAAAAATCAGAAGCAAAACAGTCCAGACTGACCTGCAACCTTGCCCCTACCATCTTCTGACACAGCTACATCAGCTGTTTGGGGCCACGAATCGAATTTGGACCTAAACATTACTGTCTCAAAGCCCTCAATTACACGAATTATGTGGGATTTCGATCGATCAGGAGGACGGACTAGTTCCTATATGGTGAGATCGACAGAAAACAAGGGTTATTGAGAACATACAACAAGATGCAAAATTGATGACAGATGGAAAAAGCAAAGGCAATGACTAGTACTTCTGCAGCTCCACTTGCACTCCTTCTTTGGTCAATAGATGTATTTCTCCCCATCCAAACAAACACTTCCAACCCACAATCTAGAAGATAGCACTTGTTTGTGTCTAGCAAATCCCTCGTCAAAGCATCACCCTCAACTGGTTCTGCCTGTCCCTTCTCAACACTTCAAAGGCAAATATCTTTCTTTCAGAACTACAATATCATTGGATTTCAAAATTCATAATCACAAATGAAACTTCACTTAAATAAACAAAGTTATCCATTATCATAGGCAAGCTGCAAGTATCTGACTTCTGTTTTTGTTGAAAAGAAGGGAAAATGAATAGATTTCTTAAATGGATCAAAGAGTTGGAAAGAAAAGGAATGGATGACCAACACAAGTACACTTAGGAATGTGTATGAAGTAACATATTATGCCTTCTAAAAAACAATGAGGTGCAGTTAATATGGCAGAGATCATTGTAAGACTATATATAATAGAAAAGGGTTAAATTAGATGGAAAGTTACCAAAGAAGCTTAGTAGGATAAGAATCAAAACTTTTGTCCTCATTGGTGGCTGTTTTCCTTGGAAGTGGAGCAAAACCACCAAATAAACCCCAAAATTCTCCACTTTCTGCATCAGCCATCAACTTTCCATCCTCTACAAAAGTAGATTGACTCAGAGAGAGCAAAAATGACAGTTAATATCATAATTGAACTTTCCACTATGTAATTTGACTTACCAATGGAAGCTATCTCACATTTCCCATCATGATATGTGTCTTTAATGTACTGGACAACTTCCAACGCCTTCGCTCTTTCTTGAATAGATGAGTTTGAACCATTAAATTGAAAAATTTTAGACTTGGTATCCAAAATAAAAATGTCATCATGGCTGAGTGAAGATCGAGCAAAAGCAACCTGTACATATGTATGTGTTAAATATGTAAACAACTTGCACATATGTGTGCATGTGTGTGACCATGCATGTGTTATGTAGATCAACAAGTTTTATCCATCATCAGCAGAGAACATATGCACATAGACTTGCCTCTTTGACATGGACAACATGTTTTCCTTGGCACACAAACAATCGTGTTTTGTGTTCTTCAGCCTCAGCATGTTTGAACCCAGATGCAACTCCACCTTCTTGAGGTATGATACATGGTTTGAAATAAGATAGGAACTTGGCAGTTTCGTGACCCTGTACTTCACGATACTGGACAGCACGTCCTCCAAGGGTTGCATCTAACTCAACTGTCTTGATGGCTGCAGCTCCAGCTTCATCCTGTTTTAAAAGATCCCCATGTCAGAAAGATATGCCAAGAATTCAAAATCAGATAATAACTTCAACAGCATAAATTGTAGAGTTTACCTGAGACGTATCCTTTCCAAGCCAATAATGGATCTCATGCCGCAAAGCCCCACTTTTTGAGGCTGTAGTCTGAATAGGAAGTTAATCAACTCAGAAGTTAGTCGAAGTATTGAAAATTCACAAAACAGGAGCGTAACGCAAAATATAAGAGATTTAATATCCAGAATACTAAGGAGTATTTAGATTAACTCATATTTCATAAATAAACTTGTCACATGGATGTGGCTCATATCACGATAAAGGCAAGGTATGGTTAGAAGTGTTTAGGGAAACCAGCAATCACAAGGACGTTGCGCGGTATGTAACTAAGAGTAATCAAAATATATTGCCACGTGAGAAATGAGTTGGATTACATCTATTCACTTACTTTCAGGATCACATAAGAGTCCCCTGTAAAAAAATTGCCATAAGAGGACTTTGGGATAGGAGCAGGGCGAAAGTTTTCAATGCGCCATATTTCAAGTCCACTATAGATTGTCAAGGAGATAACATAAAAACTATACAAATCCAAACTTAAAAGAACATAAATAGCAACACTATGGTAACAGTTGCCGTCTTTATGTTCTGTTTCCCTCATAAGTTGCAAACTACTGCATTGATTAGAAAAGTACTTCTGAAAGACAAATGTCAAAAACTGTAAAGAAGATGAATATTTCATGAGATAAAGGATACTCCTTTTGTCCAGCTCCCTGGAAAGCTGGATCCAAATCTCTCATGGAAACAGCCATTTTGTTTTTGCAGCTGTATCTGTTAAGTTATCCACAACTTTGGCAAGAAGATTGGCGTCAAGCTGCCTCAAACAATTTGGCACTACAAAAGAGCATACAAATGTTAAAAGGATTGATTACCAATAAATTCAGAAACAACTAGCTAGAATGGTACAATCCACAGTTCAGAAATAAGTGTCAGTTATTTGTTTGGTGAAGAAGTGAACAAAATTTATCTATACAATGACAAAACGAACACATACCTATTACTACAACATGAAAGTTAACATAGAGTCAACAAAGACCATTATCATATATATGTGGATGCAATGCAACATTATGGCTTAGTTTATTCAAACGGTTAGGATTGCACTGAAATTTTAGCAGGATTAGTACAGAATGCTCACTGGTCGCACTTGGTGCGATGGCAAGTGCCTTCGCCCATGAGCGGTAGGTCTCGGGTTCGAGACTTGGGAGCAGCCGCTCCATAAATGGGGATAAGGCTAGCCGACATTTACCTCTCCCAGACCCTGCATAAAGCGGGAGCCTTGTGCACTGGGTACGACCTTTTTTTTAGTACAGAATGCTCACTACACAGATACAGTCCTTATGTCCTTAAACTCAAAGACTAAAGCTTCACACAATGCAGCTCCAACCAAAATGCATAACATCCTATCAGGAGATTTTAGTATATTTATTCACAATTTTTTTGTATCCAGTCCGATTAAAACTACTTTTGCAGGCCAAATACAATAAAATAAATGTTTAGGATAGCGAAAGTACAGAGGAACAGAGAAAATAAACGATATTTAAATGAACAAACAGGACAATGGAAAATACAAAGAAGAAGTGACACTGGTTATTGAGACAAAACACAATGCCACGCACAAAACCCAGAAAGCAGTTCGCATAACACAAACGAAAAGTGCAAGTGAAACATTAATGAAAATAGACACACGGGCAGAGAAGCAATTCCCACCCAGGTCGCATTTTAACATACACAGACACATGTGCGGCTTCACATGCACCCGCACGCATTCACATTCAGAAAAGTCATGGAAGCGAAAACGAAAGGAGTGAAATAACAACTTCACAGATACTCAGAACCAAAAAAATAAAAATAAATAAATAAAATCCAAGAGCATGGCAGAGATATACAACGAGTTCCAAGTTTCGAATTTCGGGACCACTTAATTATAATATTTATCTCTAACTTTCATGGAAAATCTTATTTAAACAAGTGCAAAAATTAAAAATCTCAGCTGAAATTAAGCAACAAAACACGGTGATTTCTCTTAGAGATTCAATCATAACACACCAATCCGATCAAACCCACATCAGAACATAGCAAAATGCACAAAACCCAAAATTTTCTAACAATTGTACGATTAGAAAAGCATGCTACATGGGTTTATCGCATTGATTTCAGAAATATAAAACAGTAATTCACAAACCAAATGAGCAAAACATTGAAAAATAAACAAAATGGTTAAAAACCCCATGATCGAAAGCTTGAATTTTGAGCATACCTGGTGGCTTTTGGCGACGAAAATCCCAATTGGAGGAGACCCAGATCCAATCTAACGCAGATAAATTACAGAAAAAATTAAATCCATATTCATTTTCTGGAAAATTGATGAAGTGAGAGAGGGATAAAGAAAAATGAAAAAACACAAAAGCTGAGAGGAAAGAAAGTAAAGTGTGGGGGCTGCAGAAAGAAGAAGAAGAAGAAGAAAAATGGAAATTGTAGAGAGAGAGAGAGAAAGGTGATGGGAGAGAGAGAGAGGGAGGGAGGTTGGAGGGAATGATGAGCTGCCAGGCGTGCTTATCACTAACGGCAACAAAAAGAGGACTACACACTCTCTCTCTCTCCCCACAAAGCACAGATGAACTGTAAATTCCCTTTATTCAATTAGATATTTGATTTTTTATTAACATTTATAGTAATTAAATTATTGTGTTTTCTGTCTTTTTTATGCTTTCTTTTCAGAATTTATTTGGAGGGAATTACTGCAATTTTTGGCCCATGGTAAAAATCATCACAAGTAAAAAGCAAAAGGGAAAAGGTGAAATGAAAAGGCAAAAACCAGGTGCTTTTCTTTTTTTTTTGTCAGGTGAAAATTTGTTTTGTTTTCAATATGTTATTTATTCACCTGATGTAATCTGTTTAGAAACTGATTAAATGGGTTTGATGACAAGTTCGACAAAATACAAGTAAAACTTTTAAATAAAAAAACTCATACAAAAAAAAATAATAGAAAGAAACGCGAGTACCTATTAAGTTTTGGGATCAATCAGTCGAACATGAAGCGATTATTGTTGTTGTTGGAGCTTCTGCAGAAGTCTGATGTCATGAGCTGTGTTTTTTTTATATTTTATGTGACTGTATCTTAGTTTTGTCAAATACTTTTCTGGGTCTGAATCACAATTTTCATTTGTTTTTATTTTTGGTTGTATTTTTGTAAATTCAATAATTGTAAAATAAATTTAAGAAAGAATTGGAAGAAAAAGGGTAAAAAAGGAAAGAAAAGGGTGGTGGGAGAAAGACTTTACGGTTGGTGGTGGAGAGAGCTGACTTCCGCTTTGCGAGGGTAAAAGAGAGAAAAACTGGGAAAGGGAAAAAGTCGGTCACCGGCCATCATTTGTGCTTTTACCCATAAAGCCTAAGGTGGGGCGTCATGTTAGGGACTCCTCTCTCTCTCCTCTCTCTTTAGGCATTTACATTTTACACATTATAATTGTGGTTAGTACTACAGTTTAATGATATTTCTCTTTACTTACAAGTGAAATGTTTTAGGTTCGATTCTCTTAAAAAGGGAATTTGAACTACGTTACTGTTAACTCATTGTGAGGCTAAGTCTATCCTCTCCCCTTATTCTTCTTCACTTATAAATTAGAAATCTCATATTAAATTTAGATAAATAACAGATATTATTATATTTGTGTTAAATTTGATAGTTAGAGACTAGCTGATGATGTGGTCCAGCCCCCCGTACATCCCCTACATTATCGTCGCATAAAAATATTGAAAATTAAAAGAAATATTGAGATGCTTTTCATGTCATGAGGTTCTATTTTATCACATTACATAAAGTAAACATTATTTTATTATGTAAGTTGATTTGAACGTCTAATCTTTTGTTAAATTAATGACTTTTTTATGTTATTATGGTACAAATGGCCCAACCCAATTATCGATTTAATAAATAATCAAGAATTCCATTAAACTGAAAGTATAAATTGACACAATTTTATTACCTTATTAGTATTATAAAAAAAAATCACAACCATGTGTGTAACATCGCACACCGTCCAGGGAAGTGGATCATGTAAGTCTTATATGTATATTCTCATCTCTACCCAGCACAATGCCTTTTGGGAGCTCATTGGCTTCGGGTTCCATCGGAACTCCGAAGTTAAGCGAGTTGCGTGAGAGCATTCCTAGGATGGGTGACATACTGGGAAGTTCTCGTGTGAGTTCCCAGAAACAAAACCATGAGGGCGTAGTCGGGGCCCAAAGCGGACAATATCGTACTACGGTGGAATCGAGCCCGGATGTGGTGCGGGCCCGGGCCGGAATGTGACAATTTGGTATCAGAGCCAATCCTTACCCAGAGTGTGCCGACTAGGACGTCAGGCCCCCTAAGGGGGGTGGATTGTAACCTCCCACATCGCCCAGGGGAATAGATCCTATAAGCCTTATATGTATATTCTCATCTCTACCTAGCACGAGGTCTTTTGGGAGCTCACTGGCTTCGAGTTCCATCGGAACTTCGAAGTTAAGCGATTTTGCGCGAGAGCATTCCCAGGATGGGTGACCCACTGGGAAGTTCTCATGTGAGTTCCCAGAAACAAAATCGTGAGGGCGTGGTCAGGGCCTAAAGTGAATAATATCGTGCTACGGTGGAGTCGAGCTCGAAATGTGATGCGGGCCCAGGCCGAGATGTGACAATGTGGCCTTTTCTAAAAATCATTAAAAAAAACTATAAAATGTGGAATGTAGTTAGCCTTTTTGTTTATATTTATTTTCTCATATTTGTACGCACACATATATTGAATACGATGGATTGTCATATTTGGCAAACACCACCATCTTTTATCATTTTGCACCCACTTCATCCTCTTGTACAATGGGTAATATTCGCAAAATGCTTTTGAACAAAAATTGTGAGGTTTGAGTTATTTAGTACTACGGTCTAATAGTATTCTTTTATATTTATAAGTGAAAAGTTTTGGGTTCGATTCTCGCTAAAGATGAATTTGATTCAAATTATTGTTAGTTCATTGTAAGGCTAAGCCAACTTTCCCATCCCTTTAACATAATTAATATCGTTTATTAAAAAAAAAATTAGTGAGGTTGGGTGAAACCCTAAATGCTAATAGTTAAAATATATATAACAAAAATTGATAGAGGGGGCTGTCATTCACCAAACTTTTATGACATACAAACTCATTTTTAATGCGTTTGACAACAAAAACTCATTTTTAAGGCAATGGCAAACTTGTATGCTAACAAAGCAAGAAATCTTAATAATAACTGAAACAAAAAAAAAAATATATATATATATAGATAATTGTTGTTATCACTCTAAAAATCTAATTATATTTTTGGAGTGCAGACAATAGTTTTCTAGAATAAATAAAAAATAATAATAATAATTGTCACAGCCCGTCCCGAATTTTTTTTGTCGGGGATGTGAAATGACGGAATTGCCCTTAAAGGCTACTAAGTTAAGTGTGACTTGTTTATTTGAATATTTCATACTCTCCTAAGTTCTTGGAAAATTTTAAGTGGATTGAAAGTTGTTTACAAATTGTGTGGTTAGGGAATTAAAGTATGGTTTGTTTAGGTGGACCACACACACACACACGGGAAAAACACCTCCCCGTGCCCTCTTTCTCCTCCCTCGTAGTTCACTCTCTCTTCCTCCCTTCGAATTGTACGGACAAGGCACCAAACCCTCAAATCTTCACGGATCAACGCCAAAAAGGTGAGTTTCTTCATCCTTGCAACCTCCTGAGTTGAATGGTACCATTTTTAGAACTGGAGACCTTTGAAATCACGTCGAACCCGTAACCCATTTTGAAATCACTATTCATGCACACGTGAAATGTGGATTTTCAAGGAATTCTAAGCTTACAGGGAGCTTAGTGAGGTCCCAAGGAAGCTTGGAGTACTTAGTTTGAAGGTTTTAGACGTCGGGATCGTAGGGTTCGAAGTTGGCCGGTTTTCTTGGATTTTCTCCGGTGAGATTTCGTGTGTTTTTTAGCCTTAAAGTAGTGCATCGTGATTCTACATGTTTAGGGCTTCATTTTGGTATAAAATGCGTAGAAAATGGTTGAGAAATAACGGAGAACAAGGAGATTGAAAAATCTCCAGTTTTTTGGCACCGGCGAAACCAGTTCGGCGATTGGAGGTAGGGGATGACGCGCGTGGGGGCGCGTGGACCCGTGCCTATCTCGGCGCGTAAGGGCGCGTGGCAAGTCCAAAATTTGTTCTAAAAATACCTCGACGTCCGTGACGTCGAGTAGGTCACTGTGGTATATTCATATACCTAATTTGAGCATCGTATGAGGAATTATTACGCATTGTCAGTTATGTGCTTTAAATAACGTTTTTATAGTTGTTTCACATATAGGTGATACCTATCCCGAGGACGAGCGCATTCAAGGATGTCACGGGGGTTACGACCCTTCGACATACCAGTGAATGGGCAGTATTTTCTGTATTTACCTATATATTATTGATTTTTCCCAGAAATTGAATTTAAATGAAAGTATGTTTTAAAATTCCATGCATACATATTATATGAAATATATGAATTAGTATTTGATGCATATATGTGAATTGGTGTTGTGTATGCACAGGTGAGTATCAGGTGAGTTTTATGTTATTCATATGGTTTATCGATGATGTGAATTGCGTTGAGAGCTCATAACCTGCACCCCTGGTGTTAGTGCTTATATTATTCACCCCGCACCACATGCTCACCTTGGATCCAAGTAGGTGCATGTCGTACAGACCATTAGAGGGTTCCGACATGTCGTACAGACCATTAGAGGTGGTTCCGACTCGTAGGTGATTTTAGATTATTATACAGCTGTTGTTGAGAGAAGCACTAGAGCGTATTCTTACATCATTCTTATCGTACAGACTACTTCAGGTAGTTCCGATTTATGTGCAGAGTAGTGCCTTACAGGTCACTGTGGTGACTCCGGTTGGATTGGATATTGAGCTATAAAATTAACCGTACAGAACCAACTGCAGGGTCTTCGGTTGATTCATTATTTCACCTGTTATAATGTTGCATCCTTATTCTGTTATTGACGCTTATAGCATGGCATACTTTCTGGTTTTTGATAAAGATTGGTGATTTGAGATATTTGAAGAATTATATGCATATTATGTTATTTTCTGGGAAAGTATACAGGTTTTACAGCGAGGGGTTAGAAATGTTGTTAAATTGAAATGTTTTAGAAAAGCTTTGTTTTACTGACCCACTCAATTTTGTTTTGCGCCCCTCCAGGTTCTAGTTAGCGGTGTGGTGGTTCACGAGGATTCCCACGGCATTCTGACAAACTACTCATGTAGGACTCACCTTCGGGTGTTGTAATTTAGTAATGTTCCTACTTGACTGCACCTAGTACTTATGCTCTAAATATGTGTGTTTCACACTTAAACTTACTCTAGCATGCTAATTGGATATTATTGCTAGTAGTTGGTTTTTATTCCTTCGTATTTCCTTTATCTTTTGCTTCCGCATCGCACTTTTGGTTACGTCACACCCACGTGACGGCCAGCACGCCTTGATTCTAGGATCGGGGTGTGTCAGTTTCGTATCAGAGCCTAGG